GCTTCACCCCAGGCATTGTTGGCGTCTTTATTGACCTGTCTCGTTCACGGCGGCGGCGGATACTTCGCCACGGAATGGTGTTGTCACGTGGCCGTCCTTGCTCGTGGCACGCCCGGCTCGTGGCGATTCGTCTGCCTACCTCACTTTGTGTGAATCAACGCCACTCCTTCAGGCCTTCCCTTCTCCTGCTCATCATCCTCTTCCTCTCGCTATTTGCATTGCCCGCCCCCCCGGCCTTCCGACCCGCAAGAAAGACGATGTCGTCCGCGCAATCCCTCAACATAGCCCAAGCCATAGACATTGTCATCGGGTTCCATGATGAGAATATCGCAATCGCTGCTGTCATACTAGACCAAGTAATGGAGTGCGTGGACTACCCATTGTACCATCCCTGTTGTGATATCTAACGTTGACCAGTCACCTCGTAACCCTGGGATTCCCGTCTTCACCTGTTCTCTGGCCCCGCGCGGCGGAGGAACTGGTTACAAAGACACATCGCGACTACAAGATAAACGCATTGCGCGTCCTTCGTACTTCGGTCGCTCTCGTCCGTTGCTCGGGCGGCTTGGACAGCTTGGTAGATCAGGTCGACACGAGCCTGAACATGGGAGACGAAGTAGCTGAGATGTTCAATCAGGTCCGTGTCTCATGCGCCTTGTCCGCCCCATTGTCTAACACGATCAGAATAGCTTGCGGACCTCTGCAGCGCTCACGCCGAACGTATTTCCTTGACTTATTTGCAGGCGTTGGAGGAAATGCTTCTTTCGATCGAAGAAAGTCTTTGCAAGGTGGACGAAGCCATCAACTTCGTTAGAGGCTTCATCGACGCCAAAGGCGAGCACGTGAAGCTGTTGGGACATTTACAGGTGCGTAGCTATGGCCATCCGATACTCCGGCATAATACTCAGATCCGTTCTGCAGGCGACCGCCCATTTCGATCGCATTGCTTCCTCCCTCCAAGGCCCTCCACCCGCCCAAGAGTTAAGCGCAGTCGCGCGGGACGCTTTGAATGTGTTGCGGCTGACGTTGAACCCGCTGTTCTCCCTGGTGGATAGGAGCGGCGAAGAGGTCGAGCGTGTGGTGGCCGAGCTTCGTTCTCTTGGCGTCGAGGAGGTGAATCGTGGCGTTGTAGACGATAAGATGACTGGCCTGGTGCGCATCCGTGACGATCTCGGTGTCCTCCAGGAGGCCCAACCGGCACGGCTAGCGACCTTTTCCGTAGGCATCGTTTCACAGTCTTACGCTGACCCTGCTGACCACATGTGCTCTTGCCCATCAGCGGACGCTGCAATCCCCTGCGGCGGTTCCCACTTCTATCCGTGATGAAGCGTTCGATGTCGACTTGGAGATCCTTGATGCTATGACGGTGTCCTTGACATTCGCACAAGCTGAAGACATCATGAAGGAAGTCGTTTCAGGGGTAAGACCTGATCCGCGTTCGCGGCCTGCTTTTAAGGCTGACGTCCTATGGAGCTCCAACAGGCGAAGGCCCTGATACAGAGATGGCTCCCTCGGTTCTCTTCACCCGGTGTCTATGATCTGCCGCAGGAGTGAAGGCCGCCAGAGGCCGTACATGAGAAGATGTGCCGGTACATCCGCGTCGCTCGCAACCAAGGCAGCAAGTCGTCCTAACACCCCCTCTCCCTCTGTTTCCCTGTCTCCGTGTCTCCGTGTCTCCGTGTCTCCGTGTCTCCGTGTCTCCGTGTCTCCCCCATTTCTCCTCTCTCCGCGAGAGCTTCTGTCTCTTTTTCTTTCGGTTTGGAGACGACGCCGCATCGTCCGCTCGCAGTAGGCTCTCCCGATCGCACCATGTATTACGATTGGTGCTGTATAATCCATCGCGTACCTTCCCAATACACTCAGTTATCTGTCCCGCTGGGGTAGCTAGCAAAATGCAGCGCTCAGGTGCGGGAGAGTCAGGCTATACAGCCATCAGGCAACGCTTGCGTGAACCGCCCAGTGTGCGTTCTTGGGCTCCAGCCGGCCCGTGGGTTGAAGTAAGTAGCGCCCTGGCTTCGTGGCGCGCGCGCCGCGACATCATCACTATGCGCTCGTTTACGACGTGAGCCCCGAGAGACCATCATCGCATTCACATTCGTGCGTATATGATTGCCCCTGTGCCATAGCTGCTGATTTCATAGCAAGATAGCATCAGACGACATGCAGCGTACCTAGCCCATAGCGTGTCCGCCACGAATCCGTGGCACTTCCAATACGGTGCCGTCTACGGCGCATGTTGAGTTGAGTCTACAGCTATTAGACGACCACATTTGACGCTATGTCGGACAGGACAGGTTGATTGGCCAAGGCGTGCGCATGAAACGGTGCGCCTCGCTACCTCTCTGCCTACTATCTGCCAACATCACTACTATCAGAGGGCGACACAGCCTTCTCCATCCCGGCGACGGACCTCCAAGATGGGGATGGGCAAGATTCTCTGGTACGTATGCACCTTACATTGGGCCGATGCTTCAGAACTCTGACCAGAGTCTTCGCAGCTGCTGACGCCACATACGAACACGCCAGTGGTCTGATGCTGTCTCCGAGGGCGCGCGGTTTGCATACGGCGATGACGATGTCTCCGTCAGCCGCCGGCCAAGTATGTACGCTACTCTCGCCACCTAGATCTCCTTGGATGCTGATCACGCATACGTCGCTGCAACCCGCCCACACATCAACTTGTCTTCGCTCCGTCCAGTAATTGCGGCAACGGCCAGACGCGGTAGCGACGGTCTCATGGTAGCGCAGATATGCCCCTGGCCGCCGCTGGGACCAGCGGGGAAGGGTGCCCACTTGAACACATGGACATCCTAGTCATTCCTGTGAGGTAGATGGTTGCTTGATCAACATCTCCGCCCGCCGCCGTACTCTTGGATGCAGACCGTTTTTGGAGCGGCCAGCCCCACAGTGTGACGTGTTTCTAAGCCAGGTACGGTTTCCATCGATATTCGAGTGATTTTCAGATTAGCTACCATCATTGATGTCAGGTTTCCAGACGGTGATCTGTCTCCATCCTGTAGTGACGACCTGCAGTGCCCCGGGCGTAGAGGGCATGCCTTTTAACCTTTCAGTCCGAAATATTCTTTGCCGCAACGCACCGAGATTCGTTCCCTGCGAGGTAAGCGTGTTGGCGTTGCTCGATCCTTACAATTGACGAAACGACCGTAGGCTAGCTATCGCACGCCAGTGCCGACGTAAGCCTATTCTATACGGCGCCATTCTACAATGCCGCTGATTCTAGCGACCTCCTGCTTCGCAGATGTCGGGCGTTATGGACGCTCAAGAAGATGTGAACACTTCGCAGAGGCCGGACGATACGGACGCTCAAGCAGATGTGGACACAGACTCCCCTGCAACCATGTGGCGAAGGAAGAAGGCTCGTCGACTGGAGCTTCTATACGCCACCGCGATGGAGGATAGCTCCGAACCCGAGGCGAAGGAGGTCGCGCACCTGAGCGAGGCGATCGCCGGGATGACGCTGCTTGAACAGGAGCACAGCGCGGACGTCCTCGCTGAGGCGGCAGAAGAGCCTGAAGCATTTGCGGAACGTCCCTCTCCGGTTGTAACAGAGAACGTGGGCTCCGCGAATCCCAAGGATACAGAAGGTCTGCTCGATTCCAGGAGCCTCCAGCACATGAGAAGCGCCTTCCTGCAGTACATGCTATCCACCACGGTTTCTGGACGTCCGCTCACATTCTCTTGTACGCCTTCTCCTTCGCAAGAATACGTACGCTACACGCTCGAAGATGTGGAGTATAACAGCGGGCCATGCGCTCTCGACCACAGAAAACCCGAGAATCGGCCCTTCCTTTCATATCACTCCTGGTTGATCACGTCTGCGTACACGCTTTCACGGGTGGACGTGAATCCAGAGCTCACAGAAGAGCGCGACAAGCTTCGGGATCAAATACATGAGGAGATCGACCGTCTGGAGAACATCAAGGAGCTCGAGTGGGAGTCTCAGCAGCGCGGGCCCGAGCAGCGCCCTACGAAGGCGGGATCCGTTGACACGAGTGAGTCTGCGCTGGGAAATTCAGACGTATTCCTGCATACTAAAGCGCGTTTACGTTCCAAGGCCGCTTTTTCGCATTCCAGTCGGCCTCCTGGGACCTCTGGTCGGCACCGGTATACGCCATCTCCATACTCGCAGCGGCATTCCATCTAGTCTTCGGACTTCCGCGCAGAGGAACGCGTGCGCTTCTGGCCGGGTTGTACTGCGTGGTAGAATTGACTCTGCGGTACGCGCGGAGCGGGGAATTGACGACTCAAGATCGCTTGCTCCTGCGCTTTATCTCGCGCGACCCACGAACAGTCATCAGCGCCTTCGACCTCGATCCCTCCGTTGACGCCTTCATCTGCTGTCCGACGTGCTTCTGTTTGTACCCAGATCCCTCCACAACTCCTCGCCTCTGCACATACCGATCGACGGCTACCAGTAACGCATGCAACGCTAAGCTCTGGCGTTCCCGGGTCGTATCGGGAAAGGCTGCTCCCTTTCCGGTGCGGAAGTACCTTCATCAGTCCATGAAACACTGGCTTGGACGGATGCTATCGCGCCCCGATATCGAGGAGTGGCTCGAAACGCCGCACCCCGACCTCCCATCGGGCTCGATGAAGGACATATTTGACGGTATGGTCCTTCGTAGGTTTCTGGGACCGGACGGCCTTCGCTTCCTCGATGCGCCGCTGGGCGAGCTTCGGCTAGTCTTCAGCCTCTCTGCGGATGGCTTCAATCCCTACCAGATGAAGGAAGCGAAGCACTCAGTCACGAGCACGGCTATGTATATGGTGTGCTTAAGCCTACCTCCCCACCTCCGGTATCTTCCAGAGAACATGTACCTTGCGGGCGTCATTCCGGGTCCGACCAAACCTTCCACGGAGCAGATCAACCACTTCCTGGCGATCCTTGTGGACGAGCTCTTGCAGTTCTGGAATCCAGGCGTCAGCTACTCGCGCACCGCCAAGGTTCCGTATGGGCGTCTCGTCCGTGCGGCTCTCATTCCCCTCGTCTGCGATCTCCCAGCCGCTAGACAGATGGCAGGGCTAGGTGCTCACAACCACTCCCAAGTTCTGTGTAGCTGCTGTCACATCAAACCAGAAGACATTGAAAACACCGATCGTTCCGCCTTCGGCCTTCGTAGTACGAAAGCCCATCGCGCCGCGGCATCAGCCTGGCTCAACGCACAATCCTCTCTCGATCGCGAACAGATGTTCCGTAGCAATGGTATACGCTACTCCGAGCTGCTTCGCCTTCCATATTGGAACCCTGTGGCGTACGTCGTTGTGGATTCAATGCACGACCTCTACCTCGGCATTCTACAGCGCCATATCCGCGATTTCTGGGCAATCAGTACCGATAACCCTGACGGCGATGCATCCTCAAATGATACTACGAAGGCTCCCCCCCGCCCCTCCGGCGAAATGATGGAGTTTGGCCTTGATCAATTGCTCCACGGCACCGAAAGAGACCTTCGGGAGTGTGGTAAAGGTGTCTTGTATCATCTGTGCTCGGATAGAGGTATCAGACGTGCAGGGACGGTGTCCATCCTTCTGAAGAATCTCGGACGATGGGTGAGTTTCTCATGGTTCCGTTGTTGGGTAGGCTCAAATCTTGGCGTTCTATAGCGACAGAAGGAAGGCTTGCCCAAGCCTCGTCCC